TATATATATATATATATATATATATATATATATGTTAATCATGAATGTAGTACACCCTATTATCTTGTGAATGTGCATATTGTCTTTTTTCCAAATTTGTGTATTCTGCTTCTTTTTTGATTATTTCATGTTTTTTTTTTTTTTTTTTTTTTTTTTTTTCTGTATAATTAGAAAATGCTACTGGATGCCTCATATTTCCCCTTGGGATTAATAATCTATTTATCTAAAAATAAAATAAAATAAAGTAAATAAAAGGAAGCTAGTTTGAGGGCGGCACATTGGTGCAGTTGGTAGAGCTGCTATGTCTCAGCGAGATGATCACCGGATCGAATCCTGGCCGAGGGCCTTTCTGGGTGGACTCTGCATGTTCTCTCCGTGCATGCGTGGGTTTTCTTCAGGTACTCCAGTTTCCTTCTACAGACCAGAAACATGCATGTTAGACTGATTGGTAACTAAATTGTCTCTAGGTGTGAGTGAGAGAGTGAATGGTTGTTTGTCTCGTTTGTCTCTATGTGTCCCTGTGATGGACTGGAGACCTGTCCAGGGCGTCCCCTGCCTCCCACACAGTGATGGCTGGACATGGGCACTAGTGACCCCCACGACCTGAAAAGGAAGAAGTGGGTAAAGATGATGGATGGATGGATGGATGGATGGATGGATGGATGGATGGATGGATGGATGCCAAATTTCATATCAGGAATGTCCTGAATGAGCTGAATATTTTGAGACATTAATTGTCGAAATAGCTCAGAATTTGAGGAATCAATTGGAAGCTATTAAAAATAAAAATAATCTTAATCGTGTCAATGTTTGTAAATCGTTGATAAACTCAACATTAAACACAAAAGACTACAAAAGACAAACAAACAAACAAAACCAAAGGAAAACAGATCCTGATGCAAAAGGTAAATCTTGTCATTGTGTTTGTTTGTGTGATTTACCTTTTTGTGAAAACAGATGAAAAGCATCAAACTTGGAATGAAATACAATATAATTTATTCTGAAACATGTTTAAAAATTAAGAAACCCATAATAAACAAAAAACAAACAAACATGAAAAATAAAAAAAGACATATTGACATTTACCATGTACAGATTGTAACTGCAGAAAATCATATGCATTTTTCGTGTATTTTGCATCTGTACTTCTTTATAAGTAATTTTTTTATATATTTTTTTAAATCTTTCATAAAATTCCATAAAGTCATTCCACAGCCTGCTGTGCACCTTGGTTTCAGATGTTTTTTGTTTTTTATGTAAAAGCCTGAAAATTATTTTCCTATTCTCTGTTTACCACATGCTGTGAACTCAACTTTTATGCCTGTTTACTACATTTAACTAAGTGACGATGAAAACATAGTTTTTAGGTTGGGCCATTGTAAATATTTGAAAAAACAAAAACAAAAAAAGGTCATTCAAAATAAATTTTGTTCATGTTTTGATTTTTTTGCGGCTGCGGTAAAATGAATATAAACTTATTTTTGTTCACCTAAATCTCAGAATACTCAAAGATCTTGATGTGATCTATAATGTTGAACTACAAATCCCAGGAATCCAGTTCTCTGATTTAATTTCCAAAGAAATCCAGAAGCGTTTCCTCCTGCTCTCAGCCTGAGCTTTCTTGATCTTTTCTGACTTAATTCATTAAAAAAAATCTTCCAAATACTGGGGACATTTGGGATAAACCAAACATGTCCAAGAAAACCTTTATTTGAATTTCTGAGGAAATTTATAGACTGAACTTTTTGCTTTGATATCCAAGACATACGTCTGTGTATAATTTTACTACAAGAAATCTTTAGTTACTTGGTATATTTTGTAACGAAACAATCAAAAATTCAAAAGCAACAAAACTAATCTGACAAAATATTTGCGTGTGAATTTTTCTCATCAAGATAAATGCTTTATCTTCTAAACTTGTCACGTGTTTGGTGACAGAATCATTTACTGCCATGAGTTGTTTTCACTGATAAACGAGTTTTCATCGTGGGTCAACAGCTCAGAGACAAGAAAAATATCAAATAAAAACTTAGCCAACAACGGAAGATATACAATGTGTTAAAATGCTTGGAATAATCAGAAAGTTGAGTACATGAATAAAAAAAAATGCATTTTAAACTTTATGAAGTTAAAACGATGCTTTGTGTTTCATCTTCCAGCACACTTCAAACTAAGCATTCATTATTTAGATAATCATTTTATAGAAAAGGTGAACTGTTTTTTTTTTCTTTTTTTTACATTGAAGTTTGAACAGTTTTAACTCTAGTTAAAAGGTAAAAACGTCTGGAAACGGAGTCAGAAACAGAACAAACTGGCCCTCGTCGGCTCACACAGCTGACTGGCTCTCGCTGCACACGTAAATGTTGCTGGGTCGCACTCGTCTGTGGCTCCTGCCAGGCACTCGGGGACACAGTCTGCAGCTTTTGGGGATGAACTCCTGGCAGGCCTCCCTGAACTTTCGGATCCTCCAGCAGTAGATGACGGGGTTGAACACGGTCTTCAGGTAGCTCAGCCACAGAGCTCCGATGCTAACTGGGTAGAAGAGAGGACTGTAGTAGAAGTGCCGGCTGAACACGGCCAGCAGGCTCATCACCGTGTGAGGCAACCAGCACACAGAGAAGCCGACGAAGAGGATGAGGATGGTGGTGAAGGCCCGAGTTTTGAAGCTCATGTCCACTTTGATCTTAGGTGGGCGCTGCAGCCCGGTGAGTCTCATTTTGCTGACTTGGTTGAGGGCTGGAAGGCAGGAGTGCTCGCTGGTGTGGTTGTGAATGCGCAGGGTGTTGCGGCGCACCGTGTTCAGGATGCACATGTAACAGTACAGCATGACAGCAAATGGCACAAAGAAGACTGCTACCGCTAAAAGCACGGTGTATCCACGGTCTGCCACAGACTCGCTGTAGCCCAGTACGCACTGCGGTGCCCAGGCGCCCCCGATTCCTGCTGCACCTGTCCTCCACCCGACCACAGACGGCAGGGACATACACAGGCTCAGCACCCATGAACCTGCTATCAACACCTTCGCTCTGTGTGGGGTCAGCTTGTCCTGCCGCTGCACAATGATAAGAAAACGGTCCACGCTGATGATGAGGAGGATGGACACCCCCTCCAGGACAAACAGCCAGTACAGCATGATGGAGGCTCGACAGAACCCGCTCCCAAAAGTCCAGTCAGCCGTGGCCACGGTGACGGCAGTGAAGGGGATGCAGAGCAGAGAGAGCATGATGTCAGAGAAGGCCAACGTGGCGAGGAGGAGATTGATGGCAGAGCGCATGGCAGGTTTCTGATAAACAATCAGACACACGATTGCGTTGCCCAGGAAACCAATCGTGATCATGAAGATCATTATTGCTGCCAGGGTCACACGGAGAGTGACGGATATGAGGGGAGGAGCAGCTTCTGATGGGAGGCTTTCTGCTGCTTCCTCTCCACCTGGCTCCATGAAGCTACACTCCTCTGGCAGGCTTTCGTTACAAAAAGCCATAGCAGCTTTTATCAGGCAAAACCAGTCCAGAAGAAAGTAAACATGTTTGACTATTTTTGTGGCAGACAGTTTTCCAGCCAGCGGTGTTCCATGGCAAATCCTGAGACAGAAAGAGAAGAACATCCAAGTTAGGAATAGCAAACAAGACAATATCTAAACATGTTAGGATGCAATATGATGCAATTTTTCCATAATACAATACAATATTATGCAATGCAATGCAACAAACCACAATCAAAGACATTAAGAAACAGTAAAATACAATATAAGTTATTTAGCCTTGAGAATTTTTGTTGACATGAACTGTATTGCAAAACTCTAAAGATAAATGTATAGTAATTTTTGCTTTAATGTGCTGCTTGTCTCCTCAAAATAAATTAAAACACTTTACTGTAACCACTGAACATAATGAGTGTTTCAAGGAGCGCCTGTCTTTTTGTCATTGCCACTTTAGACTGGTCTCACCACTGCATTGTAAACTTTTCCTGTGAGCTTTGCTGACACCCTTTTGTCGTAACTCACCCCTGAAGCACTCCTCCTAGAACTCCTCCTGTTTTGAGTGTTTTTTTTCCTGAGGAGTCCAACTGGTGTTTTGTATAAAATAGTGATATATGTGAATGTAAACCAGATAGAGGAGGAAAGATGTTGAAGTGGTGCTGAAGGAGTTAAATAAATCACGGACCACAACACATTGAGCGTAACGGCCACACATGGACGGAGTCATGTTGTTAAACTCGGCTCGGGGAGGTTGATGATTAACAGCCAAGCTGTGGAGTTTCACGCATCAATATGAGCACACACATTTACAGCTCAGAGTGCTGTCAGCTTTCAGTTCAGGAGAAACACTCCTACTTGGTTGACACTTCAGGTGACACTTCAACTTTAATCAAGTAGAAGCAACTCCAAAATAAAATGTACAGTAAATTGCATGTTCATTCCATCTCTTGATAAATATCTTCTTCTTCTTCTTCTTTCAGCTTTTCCCTCTTCAGGGTCTTCACAGTGAGTCATCTTCCTCCATCTCACTCTGTCCTCACTCCAACTCTCTATTTGTCCTCTCTAACTCCATATATCTCCTCATTGTCTTTTTCCTGGCAGCTGCTTCCTTTAACCAATACCACTGTCCCTCCTCTGGACATGTCCAAACCATCTCAGTCTGGTCTCTCTAACTTTATCTCCCAGTTGTTCAACCTGTGCTGTACCTCTGGTGATCTCATTCCTAATCTTATCCATCCTTGTCACTCCTAAGGAGAACCTCAACATCTTCATTTCTGCCACTTCCAGTTCTTTCTCCTGTCTTTTTGTCAATGCCACTGTCTTCAGACCATACAACATAGCTGGTCTCACCACTGTCTTGTAAACGTTTGCTTTGACCTTTGCTGACACCTTTTAGTCCCAAATCACTCCTGAAACTTTTCTCCATCCACTCCGTCCTGCCTGGACTCTCTTTTTCACCTCTTTACCACACTCCCCATTTTCCTGGACAGTGGACCCCAAGTACTTGAAGTCCTGCACCTTTGTGACCTCTGCTCTTTGTAGCCTCACTGTTCCACAGACCTCCATCTCATTCACACACACGTACTCTGTCTTACTAGGGCTGACTTTCATTCGGTCACGATCAACTGATATGTTGAACCCATGTGCATGAAGATGACAGCAGACTCGAGATAAAGACTTTAGCATAAATTTATTTACAAAAACAAAATCAAAATGCTAACAGGGCAGCTTACTCACTATGACAGGGTGGACTGGATGGGAGGCAGAACATGACACCATTGAAGGACAATCCAGAGACAAGTGACCATACACAAAGGAGATGAATATATACACATACTGATTAGGACAAACAACAGGCACCTGCAGTGATTAACATTGAACACAGGTGAGACAAGGGCAGAATACAAGGAGTAGCACTGAGGGATGAATGAAAACATGAAGAACCAGGACAAAACCCAGAACCCCTACAGTATCCCCCTCCCAAGGGACTGCCCTTGACATTCCAAGGACGAGGCTACATCCAACTTGGGTGGAAGGTGGGAAAAACAGGATGGATCAGGACGAGGGTAACACAGAGGAGCACAAGGGAACCCCCCCCCCCCCCCCCCCAGAAGGCAGTAACCTGGGTAACCTTTAAACACAAAACCAAGAGCACAGAACCCCAAACCCCAGAGTCAAGGTGGGAGGTCAGGAGACCGTCCAAAACAGACCCGATGCTCATGTAGACAGTCCAGCGACCATCCCCAAAGAGGCAGGAGATAAAGGGGGCAGACTGGAAACCATCCGTCTCCAAGACAGAGTTCCGGCGGGTAGCCAGGAGATCGTCCATCTATGGACAGCAGTGGCGTGCATCTGTGCCCGCCTGGGCTCGGGCAGATGGGGACCTCAGCAGGTGGACCATGGATGATGACCTTGACAGGCGGACCCAGCAGCTCTGCTTCTGCAGGTGGGTCCATCTGGCGAGCAGGGGCGTGGGTACCTCTCCCCCAGCAAAATTTCCCACCGCTCCTCCAAAAAGCGAGGGCTGGGCTGACCCCCCGCCTGCAAAACTCTTCCATCTCTGTGCCGGACTCGGGAGGAGGTGGACAGTGAGGTGCAGCATCGGGACAAGGCGGTGAGGGGAGAAGAGACGGTGAAGCAGAGGACCCATGTTTGATGACCAGGCAGGTCCCATGAAACTGTGCCTTCTCTTTATCCCGTTGTGTGGTTCTATCTGCTTCTTGGGCAAGAAACTCAAAAAAGTAATCATCCTCCTGCTTGGTTCAGAATGGTCTCTTGATTCTGTCACGATCTGCCAACTGATGTGTTGAACTCACATGCAGGAAGATCAGAATCAGATTGCTTTTATTATCCTTGCACAGTGAAGTACAATGAAATTACGTTCCGTACAGCCGTCCGAAAGATGGACAGAAGTGTACAGGGGCTGCAGCTTCTAAGAAGCACTGCCCTTATTGCTTAGATAAGAAAAGGGAAGAAACATAAGGAGAGAGGTATAAAAAAAATTATCCCACTGTGTCCTAGACAGGGCATGGTTTGAGGCATCACAAAAATCTACCACAGCAAAGCAACAACAAAAGACCTAATACATATGCGTGTGGAGTGGATAGGGATTGGGGGTCCCAGTATGGCCGCCAGTTGAGCGGCGCAGTCTTTGGCTCCTTCACATCTCCTAGGTTTGTGTGCCAGGGTAGGGGAGGGAGCCCGGTGGAGGGAGTTTTAGGGAAGGTCAAAGCACACTGTCCAGATCCCCCACCCCCACCCCCCACCCCAGCCATAGAGGTGTTTGTTTATCAGCCAGCTCGGTTGAGCTCTATCACATGTTCAAGATGACAGCAGACTCGGGATAAAGACTTTAACATAAATGTATTTACAAAAACAAAATCAAAATGCAGACAGTGCATCTTACTCACTATGACTGGATGGGAGGCAGAACATGTCATCATTGAAGGACAATCCAGAAACAAGTGACAAGATACAAAGGAGCTGGATATATACATATACTGATTAGGCCAAATAACAGGCACCTGCAGTGATTAACATTGAACACAGTGAGACGAGGGCAGAACACAAAGAGGAGCACTGAGGGATGAATGAAAACATGAAGAACCAGAGAAAGACGGGACAAAATCCAGAACCCCTTCACTTTCCTCTTCTTTCAAGTGCATACCGCCACCTCTCCAAGTTCTCTTCCACCTGTTCCCTGTTCTCCCCACAGATCGAAATATCATCTACAAACACCATAGTCCACAGGGATTCCTGCCTGACCTCATCTGTTAGTCAGTCCATCACCAGAGCAAACAATAAGGAGCTCAGAGCTGATCCTTGATGCGCTCCAACGTCCACCTTGAAGCTGTCTGTCACTCCTACAGCCCATCTCACCACTGTCCTGCTGTCCTCATACATGTCCTGTACCAGTCTAACATACTTCTCTGCCTCTCCAGATTTCCTCATGCACCACACCTCCTCCCATGGCATTCTGTCATATGCATTTTCTAAATCCACAAAGACACAATAGAGCTCTTTCTGACCCTCTCTGTACTTCTCCATCAGCATCCTGAAAGCAAAGATGCATCTGTGGTGCTCTTTATTGGCATGAAACCATTCTGCTGCTCACAAATAGTCACCTCTCGTCTAAGTCTTGCTTCCACAACTCTCTCCCAGATCCTCATAACGTGGCTCATCAACTTAATTCCCTGTAACACAAAGTTTGTTTTCTCAGTCATCCAGGTATATAACAACAAAAAAGGTTGAATCATGTCATCTGGACGAAGTCCAGATGACATGATTCAACCTTTTTTGTTGTTAATTCCCTGTAGTTGCTGTAGTGAACCTGATCTGACCCTGATCTGACCCTGATGACCCCAAATCTATCAGATGGACAGGGACTGTTATTTCATTGATCTGAATACAGTCTGAGCCATCTGATGACTTTCTTTCTTGAATTAATCAAGCAGAAAAGACAATTCTCTATGATCATCACTGTTTACAAATGTTTGATAATCAAATTGTGTTAGTTCACTCAATGTTACAGGTTGAAAAGAACTACTCATTTTTATTTTACATAAACAGTAAGTAATGATTTTTATTCCTCATTCAAAGAAGAAATCAGGTTAATATGCATTTCTTGATTTTCTGTCTTCAATGAGCAAGCTTCGTAAGTATGTGAAAGTTGAAGCTTCGGTCAACTAAATGTTTACTGAAGAAGGGATGTCATGTTTTACTATTTGAGAAGATACAACAGAGTGAGACTCCACGAAGTCTGGTATCCTGCAATAATCTTTTCTGTATGTTGAAAACAAACTCATTCTCTGACCTCGACTTTTGATAACACCTTACGTCAAAAACCACACCTCTTTCTGGTCCATCCACGAATCAGAAAGCTCTGAAGTAAACCCGGAAGTAAACTCATTTAAAATGTGGCAACTTCCCGGCTCTGTCAGAGTTGCTGGGGTTGAAAGATTTTGAAGAGTCTAGTCAGTTCCCAGGAGTTAAGGAGGTAAGGAGGGTTGAGGAGTTGAAAGAGTTGCAGGAGATGAAGAATTGGAGAGTCTAAAGAAGTT